AAATTCAACACGTACACGTCAATTACTTTTAACAAATTCAACACGTACACGTCAATTACTTTTAACAAATTCAACACGTACACGTCAATTACTTTTAACAAATTCAACACGTACACGTCAATTACTTTTAATAAATTCAACACGTACACGTCAATTACTTTTTAACAAATTCAACACGTACACGTCAATTACTTTAACAAATTCAACACGTACACGTTAATTACTTTTAACAAATTCAACACAGCCAAGAGAAGTAGTATGAATTTCTCAACCATTGTTTTATATCCAACAGTACTTACCATGGGCTGAAGATGTAGACAAGTCCTCGTTGAATGGGTTCCAGGTAAGCTTCGACAATATGATGCCTAAAATTACCGACTTGTATGTATACATATCACTAACAGTAAAGGGATGGCACATACTACATAAAGTTAACTAATTTTCTATATTCCAATTCTCGTTTTTTTGTTGTTGTTGAATTTCGCACAAAGCTAATCGAGGGCTATCCGCACTAGTTGTTCGTAATTTTGAATTGATAGACTAGAAGGAAGACAGCTAGTCAACACCACCCACCGCCAACTCTTGGGCTACTCTTTCTCTCTACCAACGAATAGTGGAATTGGCCCTCACATTGTAACGCTCCCACAGTTGAAAGGGCGAGTATGTTTGATGGCAGGTTTGGGTTCAGTACTGATGTTTTATCTGTAGATAGTCATGAGTTTACAAGACTTTTTTTATTTACAGAAGAAGATAAATTCACAGTCTGTTATCCTTTATTTATCGACTTTTTTATTATGCTACTTACTTAATGGGTGGGGTCTACATATTAAATCATATTACAGAAGCGTCGGAATCGAGGTGGTGGTGCTGTAGCACATCCACTTTTACATATTCGACTTACGTTAACTATATTATTATATTAATTTTCTGAGGGGGTCATACCCCTCGATCCCCGTAGATTGATCTGCTTTCGGCAACACGGAGCTCCTTTTACTTCCAATTTCTCATTATAAACTCTGCATGTCTAGCCAAGCACCCCTCACTTCGCAACTCCTTCCTACACCACTGTGTTATGTAATTTTATGTTTTTGTTTGTAACAACACTTGGTGTCCAAAACAAGTAAGATGTAATTTAAAATGGAGGAACTTAGGAATGACGTGTCGGAGCTTGCATTCAGTAAGGAAGCAAATATCGAGATTAAATATCGTGCCTGTGAGAAATGGGTCTTTAAAATTAAGAAAGTTAATCTCGATATTTGCTTCCTTACTGAATGCAAGCTCCGACAAGTAAGATGTAATTACCCATCTTCTGTCCAGGATTCTCCCAAAGAAACGAGTTGAATTAATTGCAATATTGATGGTAATTCTGTTTCCATTTTTATTGTGACTGATATACAACCCTCTAACCAGCAAAGTTATGGACCCACAAGCATCGGGGTGCATAAATTATTTAGAAAAATGGGGTCAAAATCGATGGGATTACGTCTGCAATTCTCTGGCTAGGTAATGTCGAGTATTTTTTTCTTCATAATTCATGTTTTCTTGGAATATGGTAACACAGAAATGGCCGTAATTTTAGTGGCATTGATATAAGGAATTATATACAAACGGTATATGAATTTTTTGAGAACATACTAAATTAAGTATCAAAAAATTTAGTAAAATAGTCTTAGGCCTAACGTATTTATTAATTTCAAACTTCCGAAATTTGTGAACAGTTTTCATGAACAAACATTATTACTGTCCCACTTTTCAGATCCCTGTCCCGTGTCTCATCTACCTTAATGTTACATCAGAACAACCTTGTCCCGTTGTTCGTGTATTTAACGGTAAACCAACACAACCCTTCATCAGTCTTTTGTTGAAGAATGACTCACCATATGAGAAAAACGTGACCTATCATAGAGAATAGCGACGTGGCTAAAGGAGGCATAAACAATATTTTTAACATCTGCTGAAGCTAGAATCAAAATTAATCCTTTCAGACGAAATGGATAAACAACTCAGCACTCAGTCAGGATCCCCAAACTTCCACCCCTCCAAATCATGGACTCCACTATCTGGTGTTTTTTTTTTTCGTTCTCTATAACAGGAGCACGTGCAGGAAAGTTTGGGGAGGGGGGGTCTACTAAGTGGGATGAGGTGCGATTTCATTTGGATTTAATTATTCTGGAATCGCTCTTACAAAAGAATAAAACATACCAACTTGTGTTTCAAACTCATTTTAATATTCTCTGGTACGAAAAACTCGAGAGGTGAGGAAAATATAAAAACAATAATCATGTGTATATATATATAACTAAATAAATGATAACAGTAGATGTTTCTGGAACTTCTGTCGCATATTGTGGCGTTATTATTTTCATACAAAGTTACGATATAACTATTGGCTACCGTTTTTCAGTGTTATTTTTCAAGCCTTTATTCGCACTGCTTTTTGTTATTATTCAATATTATGTGACCAAAGAAACTGTGAGATGTTCGTGTCAAATTTCTCCGTCCCCATGACTGTGTGAAAAACCTAACTTTCTCTTAAAAATAAAAAAATAAATTGTTCTGAATATCTAATCATTAAAAAGTCATTGACTGTTAGTTGTACTGAATTCTAAAAATGCGCGAATTCGATCAGAATGGTTAATCTTGGGAATAATTCGAAATGATAGGACTTTCTTTCGTTGTTTTGTAGTAAGCACAAAGCTACACAATGAATTATCTATGCTATACCCAACACAGGTATCGAAAACCGGTTTTATAAAATTTCCACGTAGTGCTCCCCTGATAATCTGGAGCACTTATAATGCTAAAATTTGGGGTTCGATCTATGCAGTGGACACGGTGCAGATAGCCCATTGCGTAGTTTTGTGCTTAAAACAAATGTATTGTTGCGTATCTGCTTGTTTGTTAATTTCCGGTAGAAATTCTTTCCAAGGAACTTCAGCGATACAGGTCCTTTCTTGATTAAACCAGTTTATTCTTCCCGATACAAACTTTTAGTACACAGTA